GTGACAGGACCCAAAGTGTGAGAGTTCAATACCTGGTTAAGGTGGTGGAGATAACAAGTGGAACTAGAGCAGTCTACACAGTGAGCAAAATAAAGGGTTAATTTCGACATTCCAACCACCTGAAGAAGGCCGGAGCGTACGATAGCCGAAACGTTCTAATAAATATGGTGACAAAGATGAGGACAATAGGCCGAAAAACGTTGTAATAAATCATGGAAACAAAGATACTGCCCTAAACGTTGTAATAAATATGGCCGAAAGATGAGGACAATAGTCCAAATAATGTAAATAGTTTATATAATACCTCATCTCAGAAATATAGACAGATACTGAAAGGCCTAAACGTTGTAATGAATATGGCGACAAAGATGAGGACAATAGTCCAAATAATGTAAATAGTGTACATAATACCTCATCTCAGAAATATAGACAGATACTGAAAGGCCTAAACGTTGTAATAAATATGGTGACAAAGATGAGGACAATAGTCCAAATAATGTAAATAGTGTACATAATACCTCATCTCAGAAATATAGACAGATACTGAAAGGCCTAAACGTTGTAATGAATATGGCGACAAAGATGAGGACAATAGTCCAAATAATGTAAATAGTGTACATAATACCTCATCTCAGAAATATAGACAGATACTGAAAGGCCTAAACGTTGTAATAAATATGGCGGCAAAGATGAGGACAATAGTCCGAATAATGTAAATAGTGTACATAATACCTCATCTCAGAAATATAGACAGATACTTTCGTGGTAATTGTTCAGAGAAGCTCGTCGCTATGGTGTTTTTCTAAGCGTACCTTAGATGTGGCACAAGGCCAAAAGTATGAAGCACCTTGTGAGAATCGATCTCACTACTCAGTCGTAATTGATGTAGCATGACAAGCTTACTAACCATTACTAACCATTACACCACGGAGAGATGCCCAAAGCTCTTCGCTATGGTACCAAGACTTCATGAATTTAAGCGCAGTACTAGATTGGCAGCAAGGTCTCATCAATTTAGTATTGAATTAGCTAGATGTAACCGTAGGGTCTATGTTAACAATTTCTTTTCTCGTATCCAGCCTCTTGCGTTACAGTCATGTTTGATCTTCAAAAATTCAAATTTCAATCGTTATCTTGATTAATATTCTATTCTTCACGCCCCCTCAATAATACTTTTGTTTTCTAATACTTTCACATCCAGTTAACCCTGGTGTCTTAGGGGCTTTATTGCCTTGCTTGGGTAATATATATATATATATATATATATATATATATATATATATATATATATGGCATCAATGAAAACTATTTAGCAAATGTTGAAGGGGTTGTCGAAGTTTAATATATTTGTTCAAAGAATATGACTGTAAAGAGAGAAGAAATTAATTGGTTGGTTGTGGGGGGGGGGCAGACTTGTTATAGTTAAGGAAAGTTTTACAAATAGATGCCAACATGTTGAAGGCTAAGTAAAATGAAAATTTCTAACACTTCGCTGCACTATATTAGACGATATACCTAAACAGATCTATTTTTGATATGAAAATCAAAACAATCCTGAAATAAAAGAACACTAATGAAGGACAATTAATCAAAGACATATACTATTTTAAAATAAATATGCAAATTAGTTAAACCTGAAAAGTGATCTCACCTAGAAGTAGATAATATATAAGAGAGATATTGAGCGTGTTGCACCATTTAAGCATTATTTATCATCTCTCAGTTGCGTCTCTGTCCTTGGACAGAGTGCGCTCAGGGGCTTCTCTGTCAAAGGACAGAGGGGCAACTGAGGAAAATTATACTGAAGAGATGCCCAGCCCTGGGGAAGAGCTGCCCGAGGCCGCGCCCTCCCATTGCACAAGAGGGAGGGATCGGTGCTCGCACCGAGGCCAGCGCAACCGACGGTTGCGGGGGCTGAGGGCAATTTTTGTCCCTACCCGGGTGTACGCGCTCGGGTGCCCACATTAAACCGACCTTGTGTCACATCTTGTTCTAGTGGGGGAACGAGTAAATACCTGCACCATTTAAGCTCAAAATTCGTGCGAGAATTGGGCTTCAATTTCGCATTTATACATATAGAAGAAGATATCTATATATATATATATCTGTGTGTGTGTGAAGAAAGTGACTATTTTTGACGTATAACCGAAGAATGAAACCATCACCAAAATCAGAGTACCCTGTTACCTCTTCACTGTCTTTTTTTTCTCAATTGAACAGGCAAAAAAGAAAAAAAATATTTGGATCTTTCTCACGGAGATTAACTGATAAAGAACTCTTCAATTTCCCATCTATTCTTTTAACGAAGTGGAGCTTTAGAAAATATTTTAAATATAAAAAAAAAGTGGTATAAATGAGGCACAAATATTTGTTGACTAATTATTCTCTGAGTTCTTCATACCAATTTAAAATAATTTCTTTTCTTTTTTTTCCATTTTTTTTTCTTTTTTTTAAGTTTTTGTAATTATTAGCAACGCTCTTACCTCGTTTATTTGCTTAT